GCAAACATGCTTGGCGGAGACAAGAGACAGGGCCTTTTCTGTGGTGGCCCCCCACCTGTGGAATATGCTCCCCAGAAAAATTAGGTCAACTGCATCCCTCCTTTCCTTCAGGAAGAAGTTGAAAACATGGCTGTGGGACCAGGCATTCGGGTAGCAGGCTAAATTATGACAATGCTATGGAGAACGAACTATGGACAGGCCCTGGACTAAGTCGTTGGTCACAGAATTCAGATTTAGATATGGCCAACCAGTTAATACTATTTTAAATGGATTTTTAATTTAATTTAATGTTTTTACTTATTATGTTATTCTAGTATTTTACTATGTTTTGTATGTGGGGGCATCAAATTGCTGCCGGCGGTAAGCTCCCCTGAGTCCCCCTCCAGGCGTTGAGAAGGGCGGGGTACAAAAGTTTGAAATAAAATAAAATAAAGAAATAATAAATATTCTCTTTTTTTTTTTTTTGTTAAAACTGTTTATTTTGATTATGGTACATAACAGAAAAGCAAACCATGGCAAATCAGATATAATCAGGTACCAATATTTTTGACGTGTACATGCCTATCTACCTTATTCAATCAATCAGTTAATTTTGACGTTATGTACAAATTATTATCATTTACATATCTTAATACACATAAACTTGCTATTTCTGGCTGTTTTCCACTGCTTTCAGTCAGAGCTTAATATTAATTTTTTTCATAACATACAGGAAATCAGCACATGGCATTTTACACACATACCCCAGACCTTACACTCAACCCAATAAATATTCTCTTTCTTGAAGTCATAGACTCTGGAGTAAAAATCTTTGAGACCCCCCCCCCCTCCAAAAAAAAAAAGATAGGCTATTCACTAACATGAGAATGGGAAGACTTCAGATTTGTGAGATCTCTTTATTTTTTCCAAGCAGTCTCAAAAACTACTGGTTTGCCCTGGGTGCATGCGCTTTGCACTGTCCTTGCAAACATTCAGTCTTGGGTTACTCAAAACTTTTGTTATTTCAGTACTTGAGTCTAATGCAGCATCGAATCTAATACACACCTCAATTGTCAAAATCCTGAACCCAAAAAAGTATTTACTGGAAAATGTAATGCACAGAGGCAAAAAGTGCACTCTTTGTCATCTAGCCAAAAAAGGTGCACACTATAGTTGCTGCCTGCTTAGAATTCCTTCTTTAAAACACAAAAGTGTTAGGACACCAAAGCTTCCCAAAATGAAAAAGAAAACCTTGGGGTGAATCTATGATGTAGAATGAATCCACTTTAATTGCCTTGAGTCCTGGGGGGTTTCATTTTACAAGGCCTTGAGCTTTCTCTGCCAAAGGATGCTGATGCCTCACCAAATTACAAATACCAAGATTGCATAGTATTGAGCCGTGACCATTGAATTAGAGATGAGGTCCCTCAAATAGGAGCTCCAGGTGCAGCTACTGAAGCAGCTTCCCCTTTTACTTTGGCCAAGACCGATGACGCAAATCCAATGTGCACTCTATGTTTGGCAAGATAATTTAGCCAAAAAAGGTGAGCAGTAAATTTTGAGTATATACAGTATAACCTTAGGAAGGAATCATTTTGCTCCTGCTATCCTGGAACAACTTGAGTCTGAAGCTCATGCCCATCTACTACACATCAGCCATTCAACTCATATCTAAATTCATATAACTTTTGAATCATTTTACCATACACTAACATCCCTTACACAAAAACTGAAAAAAAAATCCCACATTATCTGCTTTGAACAGGAATATATCAAACACAACATACAAACCACCTACAGACCCACCAAGAAAATCCAACAAATGCTACGTTCAGCAAAGGACAAGAGGGATCCTCTCACCTCTGCAGGAGTCTACCGTGTACCATGCAGCTGTGGACAAGAAGTCTCCATAGGGACCACCAAATGCAGCAATGGCCAAACACAAATCAAGGAACATGAAAAGCACTGCAGATTACTTCAACCAGACAAATCAGCCATAGCAGAGCACCTGAGGAACCAACCTGGACACAGCATATTATTGGAGAACACAGAAATGCTG